TGCTTCCAGCACTCCCCCTCAGTGACCCCTCCCACCGCCTTTGTTCAGTTTCCCGGGCCCCGGAGTCACCTGGCCTCCAACCCCTTCCTGGGTTCTTATGTTACAAGCTCAGGTATGTTTCCCCGGGCAGACTCCCATCCCCCGATGCAGACCATTCTAGTTACACTCCCCTGTCAGCATTCACACACCCCAGCAAGAACAGTTCCAGTTCGTCACAGAAGTGTCTTGGGTGAGTTGCTGCCGCTGCCCCCAATGACTTCCCCATGTGAGAGTTTGGAGATCACCCTGGTGATATGGATACCACATTGAAGTCAAATAAATCTGCGCTAAGGACTCACCTGTAAATGGAGAGAGACTCCCCACCACCTCTGCAAGCTGCAGGCTAGGAACAGAGAACACAGGGAACCTCACCCGAACATTACCATCTGAGAGTCCTCAAACATTTATGAACACAAACCAAACCTTAATTTAATGACAGCTAAGGACACATCCCACTACCCAAAAATGTAACCGCATGGGAATGAGAAGGAAAGTCTTCTGCATTCTGCCACTTCCCCATCCCCTACAGGACTGTCAATAACTTGCACACCCCCGTGCAAAATTATAATGGCAGTCTCATGTCAGCAGATTGGCACAGTCTTGGACTGGACTAAAAAAAGTGTGTGGTGGTGGGAGCAGCAGCTTTGGTAAGACAGTGCTGAAAGTGCACCCCTCAGCAATTTGTCTTGGTTTAACTTTCGTTGTGTTTTTCTGCCAGGACTGACTCCTTGCAACTCCTCCATTTTAAGCACTGTAGGCACATGTGACTGGCACGTAGCATACACACGTAACATTATTCTATTTTAACATCTCAGAGGCTACCATTAAGGTTTCACATGAGATCACAAGTTGGATGAAGATGGGGTGCATGTGGCTGCTCAGTGTGTCTTGGAGACTGAAGTGAATGCCTTGTGGAGTATCTCTTCATGCCCAACACCTGCACACAAGCCATCCCTACACCTAGGTGATTCTCTGAGTGCTGTCTCCCAGCCTCCCATTGCAGTGTTCCAGGCAAATCCAGCTGCAGTTTAGAGCTGGGGTACCTGTAGAATATGAGCTGTATGGTGCCCATGTCTGGGGATTTCAACAACCCACTTAGTGCCCAAGGCAGAGAGCAAAGAGAAAGCACCAAGCCTGGAACATGCAGTCTCAATAGGGAAGCAAAACTTCAGTCTTTTCTGAGTAATGCCAATACCCAGCTCTTAAATACATCTCTCAACATGCTTTAGAAAGGAGGTGAGAGTCATCTCCACTTTATAGATGGGGACATAACTTGCCATAAGTCACCCAGCAGCCCTACAGCAGAGCCAAGACTAGAACCCTTGCTTCCTGAATCCTAGTCCAGCATGTTACACAATAGGCCCCATTGTTCTGAGAAGATAGCAGTCAACTGGCATTGCTTGTATACAGCAGCTGAGTAATAACAATCCCATTGAGAGGCTATATAAACACTTTCCATCCACTGCTCTAACAGCTCTTTACACAGGTGGCTAGGGGGTCACAGATGGGGAAAATGAAGCCCAGGACTCATAAGCAAGTCAGTAAGTACCAAGGCAGGCCTTGTACTCAAAGCTTTTGACACTTCATTCAGGGACTTCACAACTACTGTAAAGTCCTTGGGCATGCTTTGCTCTCCATCTCCGACAAATTACATAACTGCAGGGCAGAGACTTCATTATTATTATTATTATTATAAAGGTTTTTACAGCTGTTAAAGCCAGAAGGACCCTAGTGACCATCTAATCTGTACTCCTGCATAACACAAGCCATAGAACCTCACCCAGTGATTCTTGCATCCAGCAGAGTCACTTTTTGGTTGATTTTAGTCTTCCCCAGCATGAAAGCAAGAGCCTGTTTAACAGAGAACCACCAACTTTAACAAAATTCAGGAAATTAAATAAATAATAACAAAGAACATTTTGAAACGCTCTACAGAAGGCAAGAACCATGCCCTAAAAAAGCTAACGAGCTGAACAGATGATGGACAGAGACAGGATGAAGCTTGAGATCTGCTGAAAAGCTAGTGTGATCTACCAATGGCATTTAGCACCTGTTGTATGAGTCCCACTATTTAAAACATCTGATTAGCCCTGACCCTTGGCTCCACTGTTCCCTCTAAGCTGTGCGCATGCACACACAGATGCTAAACACTGCACACACAGCAAAACATCGCGCACACAAAAATTTGCACAGAAGAAATTTTTTGCGTGCACGGCCTGTCAAAAATTAGAGAGAAGATTGCTTGGCTCCCATGTTCAGTGCAACTCAGAAGGGAGGTGAAAAGGCGGATTTAAGCAATCTTTTATATTTCCCCCATCCTAGGAGCACTTGACCCCAGACGCAAGTTAGACCAGCCTGACTTGTATGGGTTGCCAATGCCCTCAAAGGGTCAGTACAGCAGCCAGAGGCTGGCAGGGTATAGTGTAGTCATGCCTCTGCACCACCCCCAGAGAGGGTAGGTGGTATAGGAGCTGCTACTCTGCCTCCGCACCAGCCAATGCTGTGTTAGACTGGCTTTAGGGCATCTTTGTGCTGGCAGAGTTGGAACCAATTTTCCCCAAACCAGGGGAAAACCTGCTCCAGTCGTGTGCTCTGGAGTTGATGGGCCCCTTGGGAAAAGTGTTTTAATGAGAGACTTGAGGGATGACTCCGAGATAAATGGAAACTGTGAGCTGCACAGTGTCCAGACCTCAAACATTGAGCAATGCACCATGCGCAACATGCACCCAGAGGCCAATGCTGCAGGCTCCTCAGTCACCTGGCTGCAGTCCCTCTGGGTTTCCAATAAACACACAGACACACACACGTACAGTAACCAAAGCTTCTTTACTAGGGCAGGCAGAAAATGGAAAGAGTGCAGACAGCCCCCATACAGAGCTCCTACAGAAATCACCTGGCCACATCCTCAGCTAGTGTAAATCGACAACGCTCCATTGGTGTCAAAGCTACACTGATTTACACCAGCTGAGGTTCTGGCCCAGCATGTTTGAATAAGTTTGTGGCCAGATTGTGTAATTACAGTGTTTCTTCTTGCCTATGTGGACAAGCAAATAAACATGTTAGAGGCCCATACTCTAGCCTGGGCATGTTCCAGGCTTCAAGCTGAACTCATTAACAGGGTTAGAACTTCAGTTTTGATGCCTCCCACCTGTAAGGAAAAACTGTGCTATAGACACCAGGCCCCGTCTATGCAACATTTATCACGCTGGTCCCGGTTACAGCACAGATTCCCCTCACCTGACTTTAACATGGTCATAAGGTGTCTAGTTATGTCCTTGTTCACAGACTGAAGCTTGAGCTTTTAACCCATTTAGGGAAGATTGGATTAGGTTCCATCTTCACTACAACCTGTGTCTGTGTTGTCGCTGGGTCGCCTGGGTTAGGGATGTTACTGTGGGGCTAAAACCAAATGTGATTCCCAGCTGCGTTTAGACATGGGGCCCTGTGAGTTAGTTACAGACAGGAAACACAGAAAAATCCTTCACTGGGCCATCCAATCAGATCCTGAGCAATACTTGCCCCTTGGGTCTCCACTGATACATGAGAAGTGTCCCTTCAAATACACGCCAGCACACAGGAGATCAGCCTGATGTCTGGTTTGGCTTTGCCTCTGTGTCAGCTGGCCACCTCTCCTCCTCTAGCTCTGCAAGCCCCCACCCAGCTGGCACCTCCTGGAGACCTGCTGGGACACAACACACTCATGCCCAGATCCCCCTGGCTCTGGGGGTGTTTCATTGACTGGACAGCTCGGATTCACAGCTTTCTCCTTTACCTCTGTACATTCTCTCAGGGACTCTCCTGGGTCTTCTTCAATCCAGTGACTGGACAGAGGGGAAAGAGAGAGAGAGGAAGATGAGGAGACCACCAGGGAAAGAGGAAAATAAGGGCCAGTCTTTTCTAATTGTTAATATGTGCATTACTGAGACAACCCATCTGAGATTGGAGCGCCATCACGGCCATACTGACACCTGGTGAGATCCAGCCCCTGCCTGAATCAGCCCAAACAGCATAGTCCTTCTCCAGGCAGCTCCATTCAGTGACAGACTGGGACAAGGTCACTGAATGAATAACAAGAGACCAAACACCCAGGTTTTCTGAGGGCCCTTTCCAACACCCAGCACCTCGAAGGATCCACAGCTGCCTGTTCTGGTTCCCAGATCTATCTTCAGGCCTCACGTAAGCAGCGGCCAAGCCCCAGAAGGGAAATTGGCAGCTGGTGTCTATCACAGGTGGATCCTCTGATGTCTAATCAGAGCAGAGCTCACGGTGAAGCTTTTCCCGCAGTCGGTGCATTTGTAAGGTTTCTCTCCGGTGTGGGTCCTCAGATGATTGATGAGGGATGAGCTCTGCTTGAAGCTCTTCCCGCAGTCAGGGCATTTGTAGGGCTTCTCTCCGGTGTGGATCCTCTGGTGCTTGATAAGAGATGAGCTCTCGAAGAAGCTTTTCCCACACTCGGTGCATTTGTAGGGCATCTCTCCAGTGTGGCTCCTCTGGTGCCTGATAAGGGCCGAACTCTCGAAGAAGGTTTTCCCACACTCGGTGCATTTGTAGGGTTTCTCTCCTGTGTGGGTTCTCTGGTGTCTAATGAAGGAGGAGCAGTAACTGAAGCTTTTCCCACACTCAGTGCAATTGTAGGGGCCCTCTCCCATGTGGGCTCTCTGATGCGTGTTAAGGTTCGAGCTCCGATTGAAGCTTTTCCCACAGTCGAGGCATTTATAGGGTCTCTCTCCTGTGTGGATTCTCTGGTGAACAATAAGGTCTGAGCTCCAGCTGAAGCTTTTTCCACATTTCGTACACTTGTAGGGCTTCTCTCCCACGTGCAGCCGCTGATGTTTCACCAGGTGTGAGCTTTGGCTGAAGCTTTTCCCACACTCAGTGCATTTATAGGGCTTATCTCCTGTGTGGATCCTCTGATGAGCATTACGGTTTGAGCTTCGTGTGAAACTTTTCCCACAGTCGAGGCATTTGTAGGGTTTCTCTCCCGTATGCAGTCTCTGATGGATTAGCAGCTCTGACCTCCAAGAAAAGGTTTTCTCACACTCAGTGCATGTTTTCTGGGTTTCTGACTTCTCTGTTCTCCGGTTGATGCTGATGTTGCTGAATTCCTTAAACCCTTCTCCTTGGTGAGTGGATATCCCTAGTCTCTCATCTGGGTGGTTTTCCTGCTGCCCCTCCAGTCCACATTGACTCTCACAGGCTTCTCCAAGTTCAGGACCCTGGAAAATGTTCTCTTCAGCTCTTCCCAGCAACATCATGTCCAATTCCACCATCTCAGGGCTTTCCTGCTCCAGATTCTCCTCCTCATGCTCACTCCCCATCCCATCATCTGCTGGGTCAGAGAGAGAATCCAGACAGGAGTCACTCCCTGTGCCCAGGGAAAAGGGAACCATTGAAAGGGGAATGGGAATGGGGAGGTGGGTACAACAGAAGGGCTAAGTGCTGATGGTGAGATCCACCAAGGTACTTAGGTGTCTAAACCCCAGACTTAGGCCCTCAAATCTTGGGTTTAGCCACCTAGGTCCCAGTTTAGGCTTCACTGCAATTCACAAACCGCCTGCTGAACCCTGCAGTAACCTAACCTCACTCGACACTGAAGTTTTTTAAAATGAAAGTTCCCCGGGTGCCTATGTTCCTGCCTCTGGCCATGTGCACGGCTGCCTCATTCTAGGCATCTGAATGCTCATCTCCCACCGAAGCCCCAGAGAGACCAGTGAACCAGGGGAAGACAGGTGTTCAGCCGCCTATATGCCTGCTGCGCCCAATCCAGTAGGTGGCCCCCAAGATTGGATCCTATTCAAAATCCAGCCAGCGGAGCGGGTGGCAGTAATACCTACTTTATAGCTTTTAGCTCAATGGTTAGAGCACTCAGCTGGGAGACGGGAGACTCCAGTTCAATTCCCCTCACCTCCTCACCTGAAGGGGAGGAAGGATTTGAACAGGGGGTCTCCCACCTTTCAGGAGGGAGTGCCAGCCACTCAGCTCTGGGATATTCTGATTGGCAGTGGCAGGAGGTGCTCTTTCCGTCTCTCCCATTGGAGCTGCTGCACTCTGGATAAATGATGAAAGTTATTGGAGCAAGGGCACTGGACCCAGAGTCTCCCAGATGGCTGCCGGGTGAGGGATAGCTCAGTGGTTTGAGCATTGGCCTGCTAAACCCAAGGTTGTGAGTTCAATCCTTGAGGGGGCCATTTAGGAATCTTGGGCAAAAAAAATCTGTCTGGGGACTGGTCCCCCTTTGAGCAGGGGGTTGGACTAGATGACCTCCTGAGGTCCCTTCCAACCCTGATATTCTAGGATTCTATGCCCTGACCACAGACTCAGTCTCGTTTGCATGCATTCTTGTCCTCTCGCTCCCTCCCCAACGAGTGTTTATCTACAGTGGAATAGTCATTGGGCCAGAGAGAAAAAGAAAGAATGACTCTATAGTCCAGTGGTTAGGGCACGGAGATGGGAGACCCAGGCTCCAGCCACTCTTCAGCCAGCTTCATCATGAGAGATGGAAGGAGCCCCACCTTCAACTAGCCCATAGCTCAGTGGTTAGCGCACCCTCCTGAGACATGGGAGACCCCTATGTAAATCCTTTTGCCCTCTCTAGCAGAGGGGGAACTGAACCTCCATCTTTCACATGCCAGGGAAGTGCTCTAACCATTGGTCTAAAGGTGGAGGTTTTGGGTAGCGTGAGATAAGCACCTACCACATTGCCCCAAGAAACAGCTTAGGCCTCTAAGCCAGCTGACTCCAGGAGAGGGGTTCCTATTGATGCATCACTAGGCACCTCCCAGCAGCCTGGACTCTACCTCTGAAAGAGGGGCAGGGCTTAGCACATGCCCCTCTGGTTGGCATGTCCCATTGGCTAGCTCAACTGAGGTGCTAGCGTTTGTGGATCCCAATTTTAGGCACCTATCTCAACCCATTCATTGCACAGGGAAACTCAGCGCCTAACTCAGGCTTTGTGAATCACAATACTGATCCTGCAATTTACTCGCTGCCTAAAAGTTAGGCCCTGTGATGTCCAGCATTGCAATGCCTAAGTCCCTTCATGGATCCCAACCTGAATCCCACCAAGCCCTTCCTCAGATGAGAGAGAAGAGGTGACCAATCCTTCCTCCACAATCCATGCGAACATTCGGGAAAGACAGCTATTGCCAGGTGTCAGTCAGACTGGGTGGGAGGCTGTGAGTGATGTCTGCCATGAGGGGATATGACACCTGCTGGGGACAATCCTGATCTGAGGTAGAACTGGGGAGCTCACGGGGTCTTTGTAGGAATCTTGTTAGCGCCATTTGCAAATGGTTTCTTACTCGGTTTAATACTAACCCCTCACCTGTGGGGGCTACTCTCAGGATCTCCCATTCCTTAGCGGCGTGGGGATCCGGGACACCCAGCTCTTCCACTGTTTCCATCCGAGAGATCACGTTGGGTTTAGGAATTGGAAAGTCTACTCAGGAGAAAGGAAAGAGGAGAGATCAGAATTTGTCACACACTCATTAAATAGATGCTACTAAAAAGCTCCATAATTCTAATCAAGTCCCTTCCCTTGCTGGTGGTGAACTCAGGTAAACCTGTAACAGAGGGGGAAATGCTCTTGGAGACCTTTTGGGATAGTTAGAGGTCTGGTGAGCAGCATTCATCCTGAACACTGAATGAGGCAGGATCCTGTGCAAAAAACTCTGTGATCATGCATAAGAGAGCTGAACCTAATCCTGGCATTTCCTAACTTTTGAGTGCTTGATTTTGCAAACTTAATAACATTATTTTAACATATTTTTGTATGATACATCCTAGGGGTTTTTTGTAATAAAAAAAAATAAAAGAAATTCCATCTTTTGCAACCATACTGGTAATTTTCTGCAGCTGATAACTTTTTGTCAAACTGGCTGCATTTTCACAGAGATGGTGAAAAGTATCTCTCCAACCTTACAGCCATCGCCTCCAAGCATGGAAAATTTCAGCCTGAACAGTTAGTTTGTTAAAGTTATAAGCAACTGAAGATGGAAAGTTATAATAGAAAATGTTAGGCAAATTTAATAGGGCTTGTCTTCCCTCAGACAAAAAGTGTGGTCTTGACTCAAGTTAGGCACCTCAGGTTAACTAACAAGATAAAACGAGTGAAGGCAGGCTGTAGTTTTCACAGGACTTAGTAGCTCAAGGCTGCCATTAAGCTCCCCCATAGACCCACAGGGGTTACTATCACTCCATCCGGAAGGATGATAAGCCCATATGGAGGCAGTGTGGGCCAATGGATTGGACATGGGCCTATGACTATCTTCACGATTACCTCGGGGTGTGATTCCCCTACTCGTGGACGCATCCTCATGCTAGCTCTCATTGAGCTAGTGCCAGTATAAACAGCAGTGTAGCCATGGTAGCCTAGGTAATGGCAGCGGAGCCATGGATACTGACCCACCAGTTTGTACGTGACAGGGCTCAGCCATGTTTCTGCTGCTGCTATCGTGGCTGCATTGCTACTTATACTCACCCTAGCTCAACGAGAACTAGCAGGAGTATGTGTACACGGGCAGGAGAACCACATCCCTAGCTTGTCGTGTGGACATAGCCTATGGATGAAAAAGACCTGAGTTCTATTCCGAGCCCTGCGAATGATGTGGCCTGTTTCTAGGACAAGTCACTTGCTCTCTAGGTGCTTCTGTTTCCCCTCTCACACTTTGAGCGTCTTTCCAGTCAGACTGTGAGCTCTTCAGAGCAGGGTCTTCCTCTCCCTATGTGCATGCTGGGGCCCTGATCTCGGTGCTGCTCTAACCACAAATGACTGAAGCTGACTCAAGCACTTCAGAGATCTCCCCATTCTTGTGAGAAGAAAGGAAGCCTTACCCAGCAATATCAGGGACTCATAATTCTCCTGCATGACGTCTCTCTGACCTGGGTCCCGAAGGTCCCACTGCCCCTTGGTGAAATACAGAGCCACCTTCTCGAAGGTCACCAGCCCCTGAAACAGCAAGTATCTCCTGCATTAGAACAATCCCACCTGCTCAGACATAGGAGCTGCAAGCTGGCAGCTCCGCTCCCATTGATTAGGGATCAGGCTGTTTTCCCTATTCTAGAAGAGCTCTTTGTCCAGCATTGGACAACTGATTCTGTGATGCTTTCCTGTTGGCACATGAGTGAAACCCCCAGTGTCTCCCTGGTGAACGCACACACCTCTTGAAGGAACCTGAACCAGGGAATGTCACCCTGCCGCACCAGCGACAATTCCACAGTTCTGCTCCCTTATTTCTTCCCCTGTGTGGCCTCCTCCAGACCCTCAGTCCTCACCTCTTCTGGCCTCCTTGCTCCTGGGAGGCTCAGCAGGGCTAAGAGGTGCAGCCAGAAAAGCCCTGGTGATGTTCGAACACTATCCACTCTCCCAGGGCTAGGATTGGTTCCCACGGGCCCTGCACACCAGACAGACAATATCTTCCCTGGATTTTTGATCTGTCTCCTCTTCATTTTCCACCCCAGCCTCACTGCAAGGATTGGAGTAAATCTGCCCCGGGATGCAGCAGTAAATGGAGCTGGGCAGGGCTGGAAGTAGGGAACCTCCCTCCCTACTTATTACTCCTGCTGCTCCTTCCAGTCTCTCCCCCTGTTTCCCTCCCGCCCCCTCCCCTCCCCTGCCCTCGGTCCCTGGCCCGGCTCGGGCGGGGGGAGGTCAGCAGCTCTGGGACTCGCAGACCCCCGGGAGCGGAGCTGGGGCGAGGAGGGGCCGTTGGTGCAGAGTCACTTTCCTGCCCGGCCCCAGCCCTTTCCCCCGGGTCTGTCCCCTCACCTGCAGGCTACGGCTCAGGGGCTGGCGTCGGCAGAGCCCGGAGCTGCCCCAGGGGCTGGTTCCAGCCCCCGCAGAAAGTCACCCCTGGCTGGGCACAGAGGGGCGGTAGAGAAGGGCTCACCCCGCTGGGG